TGGGGGGGGGGGGCTTGTTCGATTCCTCAAGTCATATTTGTTATCTTTTCATCTTGCAGTTTAGTTAACCGAAAATCCATTGCAACCAGGCAATGAACATTTAAAAAAAAAAATCAGATTTGTCGGCAGTCAAAGCAAACTAACAGACAGAGCTTACAATGTTATTCTTTTTATTCTTAGAGTAACTATGTTGGTATAATATGTTTTCGATTAGTTTCTGCCATAATATCTCTTAACGTTTTAAGGTGTGGAAGATATTTATGTCTGCGAGAGCCTTGACCGCATCAAGTATTTCACATTACATAAAAAAGGTCTTAAGTATCTTTAAAATGTACTCTTGATTTAATCTATCCAGGCTTCAATAAGAGTAGTACAGAATATGAACAATTGTGGGTTTTAAAAATTTATTCTTATGTACTCCTTACTGGCAGAGACCTGACAACACTTTCTTTTACACTGCTCATTGCGCTTAGAGGAGGGCCAACAAAAAATCCTCTTTGCGAAGGCCTCAATTTATCTATGTATCGTTCTAGGCATCAGCTGGCCCACGGGCCGCGAGTTCGAGACCCTTGCATTAGATGTTCCCGAATCCACACGCTTTTACATAATATTTTTAATGCTCACGTCATAGTCGTTAGTATACATTCCACTTACTCACCTAAACATTAATGTTTTGTTCTAAAGATCCAAATCCATATTTGTTTTAATAAATCCATTGGTGAACCTATCTTAACGGTAGTTTTATGTTTCAAAATAACGTTCAATTATTAAACAAAAATGGCTGTTTCAAAATGAAACTATCAAAAGAGAAAAAACGACAAGTATAAAGACAAAGGGATCGAGAATGGAATCCTCTTTTTGTAGCAGAAATGGCAGTTGGATGAGCCAGCTAAATCTTTCATTAGAATACGTTAATGCATATTATATATCATACAGGTTTAAACATATTACATAATATCTATAATATATTTATATAACAGTATAGATTCATATTTTTAAAGTCACAGAAATATAGCCAAATAGAGTAGTACTTTATACACCTGTTTTTTTTTAAATATATGTTTATTATAATTAAAGAAAAGATTCAAATTTCGGAAAAGAATATAACACTTTGCTTATGCTATAATCTTACTTATTTGATTACTTTTTGCAAGGCTTGAAGCTGAAAATTGCACTGTGTTGGTTTATTTACTCAGATCCATAAGTATATCGTGTTATTTGTACGTTTGTTTTTACCTCATCCTTCTCCCTCTCCTGGGAAGGTCATTTGGACGGAAGGGAAGAAAGAGATATAGGATAAGATAGAGAGGAGATAGACAGAAAGAGGGAACAACATGTCCAGAGAGGGAGAGAGAGAGAGAGAGAGAGAGAGAGAGAGAGAGAGAGAGAGAGAGAGAGTGTGTGTGACAGAGACAATTAGTAACTTGCCACTTTTCGATTCATACCTGCGTTCGAAGCCAATTTTCTTGCTCAGTGGATTGAGGTTTTTTTACGGTGAAAAACTGAGACTTTTGTGAAACTGTAAATGCAAAACAAAATAATAAAACTTTTTCGTTTATGTATGCATGTGCCCTTTGTTCACTCCTTTTCTTTATAATAAAACCGAACTCTTGCTCATTGGTTTTCTTTTTGTTTTCTTTTTACATAATTATAATATTTTATTACAAATCGAATTCTACCCTGAAATCTTTCTCTGTTTCAATTCTATGCACTTTCAGTTAGAAAATAATAATATTGTAGCCTTCCTAATCTTACTCCTCGGCCTCTTTTTACTGTTGTCTTTCACCCACAGACTTGATCTTAGCGTAAGTACGATCTAACACCTAGCCTTCTCGGATAAGGGCGACAAATCTTGGAGGTGCCGTGCGCAAGTTGTGCACGTTAAAGATTCCTTGGTGATCCAGAACCGATAAGTGTAGGCTTCAGCCGCCATCCCGGCTAAATAAAAAAACCAATTCCTTCCAAACAGAAAAAGTGTAACGTGTCCCGAGCGCTCACTTGAGCTTATGCAGTTGCGAGCGTCATAGAACACTTACCAACCCCCCCC